TACTATTTTTCGCCATGGATGTTAGGCGATGATTTGTGGCTGGCAAAGACTAACTGGAGAAGGAACTCCTGACACAATAAAAAACCGATTTAAAAGATTGCGGAAATTCTGCTTGCCACCTGAAGTGGAGCATTTGAGTCGCCTTCGAGCGGGAAACTCGAGCCGCGCGAAAAGCTGCGCATGCGCCGCCTGCCCTTGCTGCTTGCCCCATTCATGGCTGCTCAAGTATTGTAACCATTATATATAGTATAGCACCATTGTTCGGCAGCACCGACTTTGTTCCAGACAGCCTGCCGCAAAGGCTTTCAGCCAAGTTTGTTGTGATTATGAAATGAAAACCCCCCGCTGTGGCCTGGCAAATGAGCTGGCTTTCATTGTCATGATGGCATCTCAGTTTGAGGCCGGGTGAAACTACTTAGAATGCATAAATTGGCAAGACAAGCTAATGAGACGCGCTCCTGACGGAAGCCAAGCCAAGATATATCTGTAGTAGTCTTGCATTCGCTGCTGTTACTTTGACATGCTAAAATTTCTGCACGCTGGCACGTTTCTGGCATTATAAACACATTAGGTATTCGCAAAACATTTTCATTTGCCGGATGATAGCAGCAGAGAATAAGCGAAGTTTTCCTCTCCTTTTGCTGCTTTTCCAGCATGTTTATTAATTCAATTCGAAATGCATTTTCGGCGAAATTGCTGCCTTTTGCTAGTGCGCCATGAGTGGAGTTGAAAAATTTCCATAATTGGCTGTTGTCAGAGCTACGAATAGAGTGATGGAAAATCGACAGGTGAGCCGAGGGAAGCTGTAATTGCATCCTCTTTGGCAAGTTGGCACTGTCTGCAATCAAATTCAATCAATTTAATTAAGCCAAAATGGGGGCGTGGCGGCAGCATTTGGTAATAGAAGAGCAGACCCGGCGTATACGCAATTTGCTTTATTTTTAACACGTTACGCACGTAGAGCAATGCTAAAAATATAATCGTGATACACTTGTCTTTATATAGCCGCCATAATATCGAGTAACACAAACGACGCACACACGCACAAAAGCTGGAAAAGCTGGTCAGAAGGAAGTGAGTTTCCCTGGTCCCATGGCTACATAATAAAGCGGCCATAAAGCAACAGAACGTGCTAACAACACGTACAAATGAGCCAAAAGGGATGTGGCTTCAGCCAGCCCGGTTTTTCTGTTTATGCTGCTGCTGTTTTTCCAAACTATTTCTCGGAAAAGTCATACGGGATAAATTGGGCAGAATGGTAAGGGAAAATGTGGTTAGAAGTGGCAAGTAGGCAGGTTTTCAAATATATTATTTATGGCACTTTTTACCGCAACTGGTTATATTTTTAAATTACATTACTGGCTTTAATGACATTAATGACTAGCTGTCGTTAATAATTAGAGCATTAACATAAAATAAAGTATTTATTAGTTAGAAGATTTTAAATTTACCTCAAGGCCTATTTGCGACAAATAAAATACAATAAATAAAAGGCTTTGCCTGTCCTAAAACCTATTTATGTTTTTAGAAGGTTCGAGTATATCTTTTCTTGCCCATCACTAAATATGAGTGGTTTTTTCCCAACCATCATATATTCCGAGTTGAAGTTTTCGGGAAGGTCCCTGACAGTGGATGATGTTCTGCAGTTGCTTTGGGCCGTAGAAATTTGTAATTCCCAAACGAGGCAACGGCGCATTCTCATGCTAAACACGAGCCAAGAGCGATTTACTGGCACTTTTTCCTTTTTTTTCTTCCTCGACTCCATATACCCAAGTATGTGTGTCAAAAAAGCAGACAACATAAATAACACGAGCCGCAAAGAAGAAAAGATGCCCAACAAGGGCAAGGAAATAACACGTGGAAAAAAAACAAGATTGCTTTGTATTTCCCTTTTTTTTAAGGCAGCCGCTTGATAATAAAAATCAAATAAAGCCGGGCCAAGACGAAGAAATGACTAAAACCGCAACGCAAAAGAAAGTGAGGCTGTGAAAAGGCAATGGAAAGTAAATTTCACACACGCGCTGTTCAAGAGCAAAAAAAAAGGCAGGAAAAACACGTAAATAAATAAGAAGCGTGAACTCGAATTGATTTGCTTAAGAGAGCCCCAAAAACTCCGCCTTGTTAGGCGTAAAAACATCATAATTATAACGAGGTAGCAATTTGTTTGGCTCGGCTCAGACAACGAGGCGTATGAGCAATATACTCGCAAGGAACATTTTTATGGCACACAGGGCATCAAATTTAAAGCGAATGTCAAGAGAAAAAGGTTAAATGCAGCTGTAAAAATTCAACGACAGTGGGTTGTAGAGCTGGGAAAAAAGATTTATGAAAAATTGGCTTTTGTTGTTATGGTTGTAATGTCGTTGCTGTTATTGTTGTTTTTGTTGTTGTGGTTCCTGTGCGTCGAGGGGCTTCACAAGTAAACAAGATAACATGGCCGAAACACGCTCACACACTCGTAACGAAACTTACACATACAAAAGTTCGTGAACGGAAATGAAAATGTGAACTTTATGACAGAACTCGCCTTTTTTACCACCGCCGCACGACCTTCTCCACCCGCTGTTCGTTAGGATATCCGTTTTTTACCCGGCCGCATTTTTATCAACTATAATAAATAAATCAGAAACTATATGCCCTGAGGTCAACAAGGTTTATCCGCATGCGTGCACAGAACAAAAAGCAAGGCTATAAAGCAACATATAATCGATATGCGAAACATATGTTTAAAAGTGCTTTTTAATTATATTTTTTAAAATAAAAAAAAAAGTATGAGTTTATTATACTGGTAAATCTTTCATTAGGAGATCTATAAGTATTTATATTTTATTAATATTAATTAAAAACAATAAATATATTCTCTATTATATTTTAATTTCTAGACACATCCTTACCTCTTACTACATTCTCCAATTTATTTATTTATTTTAAAGATTAAATTTTGTATTACAACGTTTTTTAATAATTGTAAAAAGTTGTTTTTTGTATCCATAAAAAATGTCAGAAAAGGGAAAAAACATAGAATAGCAAAATAATTATCAAAGCAGCCATAATTTTCATCCTCGTTTCCATGTTGAATTGAATTTTATCAGTTGACCGCAAAATAAACAAAGATGCCAAAGCAATTTTGTGGCCAATGGAAAAAACAACAAACACAACATGTTTGTGCATAGATAGATGCACATTGGCTAACATGGGTTAACTGGGTTAAAATGACAAACGCAATTGGGCACAGCAACAATAAAAACAACACATTTTTGTTAAACATTTGTTGGCCTTTCTTCGCGTGGCATCGTTTTTCTCTCTTTTTCGTTTAGGCCATGTTTTTCCACATAAATGTAATTTCATTTTTATAGGTCTTTCACAAATTTGTGTACCGTTGTTGTTTATGTTTACGTTTATGCATTTTAATGGCACAGTAACAGCAGCAGCCAAGAAAAGTCGGAAAATTTGGCAAGTGAGCGGCCTGCAAGCAGCCGGCGCTTGCCAGCTGTCTGATCTTTGGCCCCCGGCCCCCCATAAACCCCCTTCCCCTTCATGCCGACCCCCCCCGACCCTGGCACCATATCAAAGTCAAATTGTGCGTAAAATTCTGATGTTGCCTGTGCCAAATAAAATCATCATCGGCGGGAAATGTTGAAACCAATTCAAAGCTGATGACTAAATGATGAGCCAAATGATGGGCAGAAAAGGGCCAGAATGTGTAGCAAATGCGTCATGTTTCCAGGTCATTAGACTTATTTATTCAATCAATGTTGTTAGCCAAATTCTACAGGCAAATTCTTGAGAAATCTGATTTATTTACAAAGATTTTTCAAGTATTTGTAGTTTTATTTGCAATACCAAATTTGTTCTAGATAATTAAACTCACTCAATAATAGATGTTTGCCGAGCTGCAAATACAACTCTCCAGGTTATGTTAATAGCTTTAAAAATGTCATTTTATTTGCCTGCCTTAGAATCTTAATGTGTTTATTTGTTTTTCTAGAAAATCATCCTGTGAATAAACTTACTTAACACATAATTTAATTCTTTACCATATTCACTAAATATATTATCAAATTTTTGTTAAGAGAACTTAAATGTGGTTGCCATATTGTTATTTAATGAAACATTACAGGCTGAGAAAATAGAGTTAAAGTCAGTCTGTTTAAAAATGAAAGTCATATCATATATTTTTTTTATTTGGAAATAATTATGGAGTAATTAAAATAGCAATTGTTTAATTTTTTTTATTTCCTATTCAAATAATAAATTTTGGCAATAACTGTGGTTTTCAGTTAATGTCAATTGGCATATAAAACCTAAAAGCTAAATATTATTTCGGAATATACTTTTTAATGGAAAAATAAAACCGACAGGATAAAAACGACCATATTGATTATTTTTAGGACTCTGACTCATCCCTTGTAATTAGTTTTTTAAGTGATTATGCTCGTTCCCTGGGATTATTAGCTAGTCATCCTGGACGATTCTCCCCTAACCAATCGTCCCTAATTGCATTCAATACTCCGTACCCCCACCAAGAAAATCGCCTTCCACTCGCCAGATAAAATTTCAAATAGCTGGGGATACTTGAGCGGAAAATGAGAGTGGCGAAGTACAGACTCTGCAAATCCCCTGTAATCCGAGCTTGGCGAAGAAATCACAGTCACAATCCTTTGGCTACGGACTGCCACTCAGGAGTGTCGCCGCTCGATGCCGAGAAGTTCGGTCGAAACTTGTTGAAAAATTGCAAACGTTAATCAAAGTTAAGCGGCGCAGTGCAGACGATGCCGACGTCAAAGTTAATTAAATTACAAAGTTATTTAATACTTTGGAATCGCAACCGTTCAGGAACCAGCAGGAGTCGGCAGGAGTAGCATCTGCTCTGGCAGCTGGCATCTGCCATTTGGCCCTTTGCTCCTTCGAACTCTGCCCCCGTGCATCAGTTGTTCGCAGGGCAACGTGTGGCAGTCCTTAATGAAATGTAATTGAAATAAATTAATTTTTCTCACACTTTTTACGTGGACCCGGTCCCGGCCTGTAATGGAAACATTTCGTGTGCTTTTCAGCTCTTCCTGAGCTGCAGTTTAATTCGGTTTTTCAGTTTTCACTCCGGCTGTGACCAGTTAATCTCCTGAATGACGTTCTGGGCCGGCCCCTTCCGCAAGGATATCGCCCTCCTCATCGGACTCCGAGTCCAGTTCCACATTGCTGCGGGGCTCCTGCATTTCCACGTCTTCGCCTCGGTAATTTCCAGTGGATTGGCGTGAACTCTGCTCCTTCGGCTCCATCAGAAAGGGGCAGACGAGGGCTGTGGGGGTTAAAGTTGTTATGACGATGAGAAGATGATGGCTGCATAATAAACTACAATCGGGCGGGTGGGAAAAAGCGATCAAAAGCGTTGAATGCCGCTTCGCTTCAGCGCTTCTGTGGATTTTTAATTTTCCAAGCAGTGCCACAAACTGGGCAGGGACTTAGTCCACGGTTCTTAAGAGTTATTTTCTTATTTAATTTTATTTTAAAAATAAACTTGTAATAATTTTACAATATTTGTTTTAACTTTTATAATCCGTTTGCACTTTTAATAATTACCCTAATTCAATAACAATTACCAACTATTCTTTCCATTATTTAATTAATTTAAGTTTTGTGTGTAGATAAAGAAATGAAACTTTAACATTGCTTTTTATTATTATTGCAAAAGTAATAAAGATAAGCAAAATTAAAATTTAGCATTGGTTTTCATTATTATTGCATAAGTAATTGTTTAGTTACAAATCTGCAAGTCTATAATCCATTGCAATTTACATTACTTTTCCCAACTGCTTTAGAAGTAAAAATACATCTTGAGTTTCCTTAACTAAATAATTACCTGCATGGGTGATCTCCTCCTTGGACTCGTAGATGTCCTTTTCAAAGACCTGACTGCGGGGCATCAGAGCGTCCAAATAGGCAGGTTTCTTGGGCGGACCCACAGTCAAAACTTTACAGCTGTTATCGGCTTGGGAATTTTCGAAAAGCGATATTTTCGGATTGCAGCCCAAGTAGAAACGATTCAGGGCCTTCTGGGTATTCAGTTCATTCTCGGCATGGCGATTCCTGACGGCCACATAGCTCCTATCCGTGACCTGCTCCATCACCGTGTTCTTGTAGGTGTGCGCCCCGGGAAATGGTGGGAAATAATCGGGAATATGGGAGTTGCAGCCCATTTCGCGGGCCTTCGTGCCGCTCAGCAGTGGTTGTGGCCCCCTGTGGAAATCCTCGTCGCATGTCTGCGGCTCTGGGCATTCGAGCACGGCCGCCGACTCCGAGTGACCTTGGCAAATGGCCTTGAGGTCGCCCACCTTGATGTTCATCAGGCCAAAGGTGCGCTCCAGATCAAAGTAGCTGGGCGTACTGCGACCGGCGTGATTGGCCCCATTGGTGGTCCGAATAGCAATCTCACGGAATCCTCAACGGTACTGGTGATTAATATTTTTCTTGGGCTGGAAATGGCTACTTACTGCCCCGCAGTAGCTCCACCATCGAGTGACGTAGCAGCTCGTCCTTCACCTCGCAGTTCTTATCCGCCAGCAAATTGTCAAGCACTTTATACAGGACCTCCTCGTATGAATTCATTTTTCGAAAAAGAAAGGAGAAAATTACTCTGAGCAAATATCAAAAAAATTAAGGTGTTGTAAAACGCTTCTGAAAAAAAGAGTTGCACAAACGAACATCATTTATCGATAAAAGAAAGGTTTAATACTTTATTTAGGGTTGCCAACATCAATTTAAAGTTATTAAAGCTTTCTTGTATTTGTAATTATATTGTATTGTGTTGCCATATTTTAGGTCTTACAAATACAACGAAATAAATAAAATAAAAAGTAAAAAAGAGAATTTACCTTATTGCTATTTAATTAATAACGAATAACTTTGAGAAGAGAACTCGGTTTTGTGTTCTTACAACAAATTTATGAATACTACTGATCAAATCGAAAAACAATATTAATCCCTTCAAAATTTGTGTATAGTTTTATAGATATGGTAAATATGTAAACAACCAGCGACAATAACAAAGCGTAAACTTCCAAAAGAATTTCCCACACCTCCAAGTACAACAAACCACCTCCGCTTTTAACAAATTAACACAATCTTTCCAAAAGACTGAGCAGTAAAGACCAGCAGCTAACTACCGATTGGGAACTGTCTCCACCGCGCCCCGAAATCTAATTACAATATTTTCGCCTTATGCGATCGCGACCAACTGCAAACTGCTTAACCATAGACTACTATCTCGAACATCTTGTCTAATGAGTTATGCAAATATTTGCAGGCGAATGCGTTCCAAGAAACCCAAAGTGGGAGCCATTGTTTGTCCGATGACAAATTCTCTGTTTGACTTCGTCATAGATTAGGCGAAACGTGAGGCATAATCAGTCATAAGCCAAACAAACGGCGCGAAAAGAGAATGGTGAACGGAAAACTGAGAGGGAAAAAGGGGAAAATGGAAAAGTCCAGGCACGAGGTCACTGTGTCAGAGTGGAAAAAGTACTTTAGATGCAGACAGATTCGCGTTTGTGACGCCCAAGAGGCTGCTGCAATTGAACAAATTGCAACTCCCCCATATTCCCTCCACTCTTTATTTTTTATGATCTCCATCATGATGATGTAGATGATGGGGATTATGTTGGCGTTCGTGCATTGTGGGCGTTCCATGGCTGACATTTGTACAAAGAACTCGCCCGTATCTAAGATCTCATGTTTGTGCCTCTAGGCGCTACCGTTTAAGGCCTACACAGAAAAAAAATCTTAACTGCTAAATAAATCATAATAAGAACTTTGATGTGACTGCCAACCACTTATTTTTTATCTATTAAGCCATACAAGATTTTGAAGTTTGAAGACACATTCCTAAAAGTATTATTAAATATTATCACGAATTATCACAGTTTAAATTTAAACAGAGAACAAGTTTTGTTGTTAATTGAAAAACTAGTCCATAAGGAATATAGCTCATGATAAACGGTCATTATTATCATTTAAACATTTCAATAACACACATCATTAATTTTTTATGACGTTTCCCAAACAGGTCTTACTTTTCCATAATATATAGTCTGTGCTGATTTGCATCTCAAAAGTTTAAATTAATATTCACTATATAAACCAGATTAAAGACAATATAGGCAAGACCTTAAATTATATTTTTAATTAGCCACTTTTATGGCATGCATGTTTTAATAAACATTGGTTCGTATCAAACAATTGTGACTTTATAGTCAAGTAAGCAATTTTTTTTTTCAATGCATAGAAACTGAGCTCAACTGTTTATGTCTAGTCCCATGGTTTTAATTCGTTCTTGACAATACCCTTCGACAACTTCCGCTCTGCTGATTTTCCCCAGTGCAGTATGTGATGAAATGGAATCCGCTTTCTTGACATGCAAATTTATGCACTCGCATTTGCGGTTGCGCCCATTGTCGCATAAATTCATTCATAATTAACAAGATGCGCCGGCGAATGGAGAGCACATCCCGACGAGCGTTTCGCAAGTTGTTTGCCTAGACGACAAACAAAATAATTGCTGCAATTTAGCCACCAGCGAGCGACAAACAGCCTAACAAATTCGTATATGGGAAGTGCAGATGGAGCAAATTGAGCTGTCCCGAGCTAATTCGAACGATTAATTCGATAAGCTTGCAGCTCAAATCGGCAAACAGAAAGACGGACGACAGTTGGACAAACAGGCAGCGGCAGTCAATTGATTGAGCAGCCGATTACTGGGGAAGTCTTGGCCGAAGGCCCGGTGCAAATTGCCCCGTCGACTGGTCGGCGCACAAAAGCACCACAAATTGTTCCAGTTTCCGAGGCGCAGATAAATCTATTGAGATATCGAGCCCGATGGGGAGGCCTCCTCCTCCTTTCACAGCCATCTCCCCATCACAGCTGTCGTTTCTGGACCGTTAATCCCACGCAGACGAAATGCATTCCGCCGCGAAACTCCCGGCATTTCGCAGAGTTTGCGGCAATATCTTCGGGGTTCTGTTCCCTGGAAGCAATCAGTTGACCGAAAGCGGCATAATCTTTATGACAGGCCACTGCCGGAACTGGTCGACAGGTTGAGCCACGTCTTCTTAGATGAAGATTGGCTAACGGAGCCAGTTGAACTAGTGACCTTTGCAGAGAACACTTCATTAAGGTCCCCTTACTTCTAAAGTTTCCATTAAAAAACACCAACTTCATGGCTTATCTATTACAAATTAAACCTGCGATTTTTAGACTTTTAAATATTTTAAAAATATTATATATATATTAGATTACAAAAAAGAAAATAATTTAACTTCGGGGGACCGAAAATAATCTTTATTTGGGACATTTATTTGTAAACGACCGGATTTCATTTATAAACGACACAAATAAAACTGTTATTATTTTTTTCACTGTGTCTATTAAAAGCAGCAATACTAGGAAAGAAATTAAATTTAATTTACATTGGCCCATAAATCAAATCGTGTAAAAATTTAACTAGTTTTTAAAAATATAAACCTCGAATAACGATTATTTTCTGTCCCTGAGATTAATATTTAAATATTTGAATGTTAAAGAAGATTCCAAATAAAAAAATAATGTATTTAAAAAATATGAAAAACCAGCATAAATGTGGGACCTTGCTAAAAAACATTATCACTTCTGTAAAATTATTTGTGTTAAAAGAAACATTCAATTTTGCATGTAATATAAATTATACTAGAGTATTAAAAAATATCCAACAAAAAAATAATAACTGATTGGCGATCACTTTTCGATAATGATCACATACTTAAGGCCTCATTACAATCTCCTGAAGTCAAGAAAATCAAAACCAAGCGATTGCACGACTTTTTGCCGGTTAAACAAATCGCTAATAACACAATCAATGCAAAATTGCGTAATTAAGGCCAGATGGCCAACGGTTTGGGCCACGTTTGATCAATGGCCAGTCAACCCACGGAAGCCAATTTACAACAGCCACAAATCACGTTCGTCAACCCGTCAAATTGTGTTAAATTGTAAAATGACAACAGCACTAACAATAACAATTATTGTAAGTTATTGTGTGGCGGGAAATCGGGTCTACTTGACCAGCAGGTGAATTTTCAATATTTGCTGTACGAATTGGGAAATCACTTACCTCCGATCTTGAAATACTTACTTTTGGGCCATGTGCAGATAATGACAAAAGCCGTGAGCAAATTTTGATATGTAGCCTTCCTATCTTATCAGTTAACAAGAAAGGAAAGCATTGACCGGGGGGAGCCAAGTTGATATACCCTTGCAGAATACTCTATAATTATATTCTCCAAAATTATTCCTATGATGCATTCTTAATACTCATAAAAAATCCAAACTTCCAAACTTTAAAAACACCAAAGTTATGGCATTTCCAATCGTTCAGTTATATGGCAGCTATAGGATATAGTCGGCCGATCCTTACGAAATTTGGTAGGTCGGATTGATTGGCCAAATATAACCCCTGTAGAAAATCCCAACTTTCTAACTTTACAAACACCAAAGTTATGGCATTTCCGATCAATCAGTTATATGGCAGCTATAGGATATAGTCGGCCGATCCTAATGAAATTTGGTAGGTCGGATTGATTGGCCAAATATAAAACCCATAGAAAATCCCAACTTTCTAACTTTACAAACACCAAAGTTATGGCATTTCCGATCAATCAGTTATATGGCAGCTATAGGATATAGTCGGCCGATCCTTATGAAATTTGGTAGGTCGGATTGATTGGCCAAATATAAAACCCATAGAAAATCCCAACTTCCTAACTTTACAAAAACGAAAGTTATGGCATTTCCGATCAATCAGTTATATGGCAGCTATAGGATAGTTGGCCGATCCCGGCCGTTCCGACTTATATACTGCGTGCAAAGGAAAGAAGGGTGTGTGCAAAGTTTCAATTCGATAGCTTTAAAACTGAGAGACTAGTTTGCGTAGAACCAGACAGACGGAACAAGATTGACAGTACGGACAGACGGACAGACAGACGGACCGCCGATCTTGAAAGACGTACATTTGGGCTATATGCAGAAATGCAAAAGGGATCCTGATCAAGAATATATATACTTTATAGGGTGGAGATGCCTCCTTCACTCTTTTTAAAAAAATTATAATACTTATGCAAGGTTAAAAAACAATTGTTTTAAACACCAGTAAAGTATGTTATAAACATATTTACATAAGCTTCACTGATTTTCGTTCCATTTCGTACAAAATTTAAGTTGTTTACACTTGGTTGAGTTTCAGGAATTTTTAAAGTACTGATTGCGAGAAGCACATAAAAGTTTAAAGTACCAATGAATCATTTTTATTAAAGCCAGCTTTAGTTGTAGTTTTTTGTATGTGTTCTTTTTTTATTGATACATTCAAATTTTTTTAAAATCTTATGGGAATAAAAAAGTACAGTTTTAAATTTATAAACTAAGTTAAATAACTACAAATAAGTATTAAAAACAAAACCTTGCACACAAGTTTTACAATTTTACATGTTTTGCTAAGGACTTTATTACACGACTTTAACTACATTTATATAAACAAATATATCGTAAAACACTTTCCAAAGAACTCTTGTTTTTAGTGTTTGTTTTTTAGATATTTTTAGGGCACTTGCACTTTGAAAGTTCTGCTGTTGACTTCTCTGCACTTCGACATTTGTCTGCTTAGAAACTTTTCCCCCAATGGAAGTTGTTTGCAGCTCAGACAAAGCTTAGGTTATGCAAATCGAATGAAAAAGATTGAGATAGACAAGCAGACAATGTTGCAATTTGGCCTTTTATGAAGTTGACAAAGTAATTTTGCTCCGAGACTCACTTTCTATTTGCACTCGGCTCATTAGAATCGACGGCATGCCTGGAACCGCCTATCTAATCATAGGCCAGGTGACATTGTCTGAAAGGGAATGGGAAGATAGCAATCGTAATGGCTTGATTATTTTCAATTGACACAATTTTGAGGCTGCGCCTCTGGTTTTCGGTTTGACCAAATTGAAATTTATTGCCGAAACAAATGGCGAATTATGTTGAACGGAATTTAATAAATTATCAATTCAAGTAAGGCTTCATGTGCAAAATGGGGGAATTAAAAACGGTCTGCGGAGCTCGTGGCCCATTTAATAATTCAATTCTGTTTGCCAGAACCGGGGCAACGGAGTCTGGCCGATTTCGATTCGATTTAAATTCAAATCAACTTTTCAAAGCTGGCGGCAAATTTATGCAATATCAGGTTCCCCACTTCTTTTGTACTCATCCGCTCCAGAAGCAGAAAAATGCTAAATTTGTGCTAAAAACTAGAAACCTTCTAAGCATAATTACGCAGTTCAACGTGCATAAGTAGAAACAACAGTAGAAGAGCTCCAGCCCCATCAAAAATTTGGGTAAAACTGAGGAATTTCGTTGGGGATTCGGTGTGGCGAAGTTTCTTGCAACTTGCTGTATCCTATATCGGCAAAATAAACATTTCCAGCTGACAGACGTGGAAGCCAACAAAGATAAACAAACAAGGCCACAGAATGCAGTTGCTTAAATTATGAAAGAAATGCCAGATCAAAGGGATGGGTAGAATAGCAGGGGAGTATATGCTGGAATCCTGACATTTTCAAGTGGCTGTGATCCGCCGCGAACTCTGTTTCAATTATTATTATTTCTGGACCGCATTTCGCTGTCTCCGACTGGAATGAATTTTGCATTTTTATTTTCCTCTCGATATGTCAAAATGCTTTTGCCCCACACTCGAAATTGTGCCTCGATTGAGACCGAATTTATGGCAAAGAAAATGTCTAGAATAGAATTTGCATATTTTTCTTTAGTTGTTTTCCAGTTTTTATTGATTTTTTATGTTTTTTTTTTTGTGTTGCAGGTTTGCCAATTCTGATCTGAAGGACTCTTAAAGACATCTACCCAATAGGTAATTATATTGCAAGTGATTTATTTTGATATGGAAAAGCTTTTATAGTAAACTGGTAGGCACCAACATTTTTTTCTGAATTTAATTTTGATTTAGAGAGTGTTCATAAATATTCATTTTGGTTACAGTAAACATTTCATGAAGTAAAAGAAAGCCGTTTTATTTCTATATATTAATATAATATAAAGTTAAAAGGAAAGCAAACAAAGATATTTCTTTCATTGAAAAAATAAGTCATGCATCTCAGTAACGCAATTATCAAGTTCAATGTGCGTAACTAATTCTCAGTCGGTTACTTATCAATTTTCGCAATCAAATATGCCTTTTACATGATCAATAAATTCCCACTTTCAAATGTGTAATGGAATTTGTATTATAAATTTCACCGGCGAAATGCAAGCATATAATTCAAATGCTTGTTCGATACGGATGCCATTTGTGCAGTTCATTTGGCTAATGCAATTTGAGCCGCCAAAAAACCGCCCACTCAAATGTGGTTACTCCTCTTGGCCCTCTTGTCAATATTTACCGCACAACTTGCGCAATTTCAAGCGGCGACTTTGGTTTTCATCTTTTGGATTCGGTTTTGTTGCTTCTCGTTTAAGGTTTTCATTTGCACTTATTTATATTTATTTCCTCACAACGGCTTCGTTTGGATACCCAGTCCATAGCGATTCCGCCAGCCATTCGCGCTTGCCAGTACTTATTTATGCTTATTCCTATGGGCACTATCGCCGTGTGCATATTTTATGGGAAAAGGGAACTGCAGCGGCAGTTACTACAATATGTTAGCGATAAGGCGTTGGAGTGGCATATAAATTAATAAGAGTACAAACAGAAAAGTTTATTTCGTAGCACGTGGCGCATGCGTAATAATTTCCAATGGTATTTCTGTGGCCTTGCGGCAACAATTTACCTAATACCCCGATCAATATTGATGCCTGGCCAATATTTGTACAATTTGTTTCCAAGTCACAGCCATGTTTCTGTGAGTTAGAGTTGCAAAGTCTGTGAATTGGTAGAAAAACCCGAGTGACTCAAATTGCAGATGATTCAGTTTTCCCCGTGTTGAACACACCTACAGCTGCATTAGGCTTAGTCAGCGAAGATCTTAACTCATTCCTTTTTTATGACCAGAATCAATTTGCATGGCATTTGCTATGTAAAAGTTTTTCTTTATTTTTTTTCTCATTTGACCATATACGTTGCGCTGCCTATGAGAACGTAATTTGATTTTTAGATATCGAGTTTGATTTGTGATTTTTGTGGCGATTCTGAATGGCTCGCCTTGACATTTCGTGCTGCAAAATTTAAATATAGATTAAAAAACGCCAAAAGCGGCTAGCAGAGTGTCGAGAGCATCATCTGCCGGGGGCCATTAGTAAAAAGCTAATGCCACGCCCACTCGCCACTGCCACTCAATCTATAAATATGCCAGACTTTGCATAGCCGTAAAGTCAACAAAAGGCGTCCGATGATGCAGCAGCTGGCGGGGATGCCAGGATGATGGTTAAATGGGAAGCTACGGGGAATGAGTTAAATGGGTAAAACGAGTGCAGCAGACCGGTTGCCTATAAATTACAGTCAAACGGAAATCATTTTGCATGCATGTCCTGACTCTCTGCCGGGAAAAAAGACCCCGTCCTGTTTGTGCCCGTGGACATTTCAACATTTTAGTAAACAGGCGGGAAAGTTTCCACTTGGCCTGCCATTGTCAACGCTGCGTATACGTGATGGGGCCAGCATTAGCCAGGTCATAAACTAACATTCTATAATGCGATTAACCCCAGCACAATGCAAGTCCTAACCCCATCAGCAAGAAACCGAAAAATTTCTGCAGCATACGCACAAAAACGAGAAACGACGCAACAAATTTCCAGCCTGTAAATGATTTCAAGGCAACTCATGTGTATGTGGGTGGGTTGGCTAACAAACAAGATAAAACTTTTGATTTATCGTTGACACGAACGCCAAGAACAGAAAGAACAAGCAGGACAAGAGGACCAGAATCAGTACAAGACCAGGACCTAGGTCCTGCGGAATTTTTCGGTCAGTGGGAGGCAACTGGAAACTAACTTAGAACCAAATGCGTGCGTCGATAACAACAGGGTATGACTGCACAGGAAAAAATATATAATGCCTTAAATCGATTATTTTTCTTTTAATATTGGCTGTAGACAGAATTTCGTAAGCCTCTACTAAAATAAGTAGTCACAAAGTAGTATTTAAATTTGTTAAGATATTTGTCCTTAATAATAACAACAATATAAAACGACATTTTTTTTTTTGTATTGTATTTCAAAAGCCAACTATGAAAAGATAAGTGCAAAAGACAAATTGTATTTATCTAATAACAGACCAAAAATGAAATTGTTTTTATTCAAAAAATACAAAGGGAGGTTTGGTAAAAAACAGACAGATAGATAGGTAGAAAAATGGATAGAGATTATTATTTTTTTGTAAAGCATTTTACAGTAAATTTATAGCGATCCAAGCCAAACGAGGCCCAACAAAAACAAAAAGGGTTTGCTCATAAAAAAGGGCTCAGGCATAATGTAGTGTCTAAGGTTTGCTTCAAATCTTCGTTATTTGCCTATCGAATTTGGAAAAATTCATTAAGATGACAGCAATAAATAAAAATTGACACCAATTGCCGCAATCGGAAGTAAAGTTTTTAAAGTTCATAAAAATACCAATTACTCATAACATAGTTATTGCAATTTTTTTAATTACACCAAATCTAAGCTAGAACACTTTTAACTCCCTTCTGCCCCATTCTTTTCAGTGTGCCTGCATTGAAGGCAATTACCCAGGCAGGGAAAAGGCAGCTAGGGGTCAGGGGCAGTGCGGGGGCGGCAGTGTCAAGTGTGTGTCACGACACGCGCCGACAAATTTGTGGGCTGCCACCCAAAAAGCGGCAAACAAGCATAAACTCTCCAGCTTCTGCTACAGCAGCCAGGCAAATGAGTTGGTTTTCGGGGGAGGGAATATGGAATTCAAGAGGCACAGACAACAATGGCCAGCTGAATGGTCAACTTGCTTGCCGGACTCTCAGATAACATTGCCAAAACAATTTAGCCCAAACCAGAAACAGAACTCTGGAAGCAAAGTTCCGCAAAATTTGTTTGCCTTGCCAGCCTTAATTTCCACAAATATTTGGCCATTCGCTTTTTTCTGTTTGTTCACTTTTGGAAGGCCTGAACTTGAAAAAAAATTATTAGAAAATATTTGTACTGCTCAGATGACAGTGCGCGAAGAAAAACAACACAGCAAAAATACTACAAGTGACATTTTTATGTCAATGAAATCGACACACAAAACAATAAATATATCATGAAAAAAAACGATATTAACAGCAAAGATCGATTTAGCAGAATTTACATCATCGCTAGTTCACATAATTTGTGCACTTAGAACATTTCAGTTTTACATTTTTTACGTTTGGTTATAACTATATTAAAGGTGATAATATTTTGTTTATTATTAGTTTAAAATTCACACATTTGTTTAAAAATAAATATATTTTTTTCGTAATATTTATTTCATGTTAAATATTATAAGCAAATGTCATTGAAAATAGTATTTCCAAATATATTTACATTCTTAAACTTTTTTGCTTATTACGGATTGTTGCTAAGCATTAAAAAATAATCGAAGAAAATTATGGGAAAATCAAATTCATTGTTTTGTCAAACACAATCATAAAAAAAATTAATTTTTGTCGATTATTTAAAATATAAAAATACTTGTATTACCTGTGGTTATCAGCAATATAATAAATCTTTTCTCCTATTCCGGATTTCTGTCGTTAATAACTGAGAAAACGGGGTGATTTCGCATGCCATCATATTTTTTTAACGTGTGTGATCTGATATCGTAGTGTCAGATAGGCTGGGGCACCCCGCCATCGACTGGTGCGGAATAAATTTGAGAGGCATGACATCACTTCAGTCGACTGCCTGAGTTCCAATTGCCGGTCGAGTACGTGATGTAGATGCTGACGTAGCCGCTGGCGCCTGCGCCCAATGCAAATCTCGGAGTTTATTTGGTCGATGACGTTGTCATCCAATTCGAAATGCACATATGTATATTTGAACGCAGAGTGGTTGGAAAATATCGGAATCGCGGGTACGTGCGGCGATTCAAAGGCGAACTTGGAGCGATTGCCGTGTCTGATATTTATTGGGGAACCCAAAGCACTCGTCTGAGTTATGTCGTATAGTTTGGGGTATGACCCAAAGGTGCGCACGCCAAGCAGGTAGAAATGATTGATAGGTGGGTCCGTGGGATTCGAACTGCAGCCGAGTTGATTTGTGATGAGTTCTGATGAATTGCCTTTGGCTTTCGCTTGGGTCTATATATCTCAGAATTTAATTTATGACTTCGGGCAAAGCAAAAAGGAAATTTTTGGGTTAAATTTATAATGCTGCCCCTACCCAGACACAACTGGCGAAATTGTTCTCCCTCTGCTCCATTGAGTAGCAAAGTCCAACCGGAAGGAATCCATTTAAAATTCATCTAAACTCATTAACAAAGTTTTTTTCGGCGGCGAAACTGTAAATTAATTTTAACTTGGCCCGCAGCACCAAACTTTAAATGCACTCGAATTCAATTGAAAAGTGCGGCCTCATGGCTTGGCACTGCGTATACTTGATATCGCGCATACGTCGCATGGGACTAGTGTTGCTGCGTTGCCCTGCAGTGCCAGCGTCCTGTCAAAGCAGCAAGCAGACAACAGACACAATGACTTGTCAGCAACTAAATGACTTTCACTTTTCCCGTTTGCCAGTGAAGGGTATATAAAAGTATGCACAGGAAAAATGTAAAATGGATTTAAAGAAATCTAACTAACTAAATATTTGTATTTTTGGCATTTATAAGCCATTGAGCCATTAGCCTTGCGGAAAACTGTATTAAATAAACGCTAAATAGCCAAAAGAAAATGTACTCCAAAAATAGTTTTAAGATAATATGTGATTGTTGTTTCTTAATAACAATAA